CCCCCCGACCCCGGAGGACTGTCCTGCAGCCGGGGACTCCTCCTCACCCAGCAACGAAGACCTGAGCGAGGACAGTGGTGCTGGGAAATGAGCGACAAGAGCGGGTAGATGAGGGGGGTTGAGTTCAGCAAAATGCAGGGCTAGAAATATTTATTACATTTTAACTGACTCAACTCCTGTCCTGTCTGTTGGACTAGTGACCACTGATCTGCATCCGCCCCCCCCCCCCATCAGCAGATGTGTGATTGCTTCTCCTCTATCACTGAAATCAGTCGTTTTCCTCCTCTGTTGAACTGTGGTTGCTGATGTTTGGTTCCTGAGTCAGCTCAAACTGCGAGATCATGTTTGAATTTTCTTCCTGGGAAAATCAGTTGTGTTTGATTTAACTTCTACATTAACCAGGAGGCAAGATATTAATATGAATCCAGCACTGTATAACATGCTGATATCCACGGTGTTGAACACTACTCCAGGCTCTCTCTCATGATCCTCAGAATTTGCTCTCATGTCCAAACAGGGGTCACAGTAGAACATCAGCGCAGTGTGTTGATCCATGTAGAGTTCACATCCAGCTGTGTAATAGCTGTACAGTATTATTCAATACAATATTATTCCCAAAAAGTAAATATGCAACATTCCAGATGTCTACCAGTGTAATAAAATGTTTGATCTGTAGCGTGACCGTAACTCTACTCCGTGCTGTCCTGTTCGTTATCATTAACCTGTTTAGTTTGAGTGACGCAGTCTGTAAAGTGTTTTTGTATTCATGTATGTGTTTAGGTGCTCGGCGTAAAAAAAGGAATGTCAACAAAGAGCGGGAATTGTCAAGACATTTTAATATAAATTAAAATGACCCCCCCCCCAAACAGAAAACAAACATCCAAAAATACATTAAACTTCCAGCAGTTAGAAAACACCTGTTTGTTCATCTCAATTTGTCAGTAGCTGAATAAAAATACAATAAGAAACATACAGCTTTGTTTGAAATTATACTGTACATGTCTTTTTCTCCCTCCTGCTCCCTTCTGTCTCCGATCGAAAAAAAGTTTCGATCAAGTCTCGTTCCTTCAGACAGAACACGATGTGTTAATCATGTGACCGTCGCCACCGTGACTACAAGAGCTGCTACATGCGTCAGTCAGTCTTTTGTGGTTTAAAATATCCTTCTCTAATATGGAGGATGAAATGTTTCCAGAGCAGCACACTAGTCATGAAGAACAGAAGTAACACATCCTTATTTACCGCTGAAATGCTAGAACCAAAATTAAACGTGTGTAATGTGTAACTGGGATAATCTGCTGTATGTTACCGGTGCAAGGACAGTTTGCTACATTAAATACCTACAGACAACTCCATGTTTTGTTTCCCTCCTTATTAAATGTGATTCCATCTTTCAATCTGCTCCATTCTATTCAAGTTTTTATCTTTCTGATATATAAAAAAACTCTTCTAGCAGCATTAACCTGCCTTGACTGACAAGCTTTCATATTTCAAAATAAGAAAATTGCAGACAGTGCAGCCTTTTTGTGGTTGTGAAGCGTCTCAGGGGAAACACCTGTCTTCCGTTACTGAAAGATTCTTATTTTACAGCCCCTTTAACATTTCAAAACTACGAGGGTTTCTTTTCCATATGACTGTGTGTTGACGTAAAAAGGTTCTTAAACATGTTCACAGGTGTTCACTACTACATTTAGCTCCTACAGATTGTGCTGGGATTTTTTAACTTTTCATTATATCCCTCTAAAATTCCCATTTACTGAAGTGAGAAGGCCACAGAACTTTTTTTGCCCCAAACACGACATTAACTTGAACCCAAAATGTCTCAAAAAAAAGGGAAAAAAAGAAAAAGGGATGATAAAATGCCCTGAATAAGGCTACGATCAGACTCAAGATTCAGCATTTCTCCACAATCAAGCCAAACTACCATTTTAATACTTTTTAAACAAAACTTATCACCTGCTCAAACACTTAATTTGGTTACAGTCTACATTTCAGGTTGCTAAAAGCGTGGTTAGCAATGTTGATAATGTCATTCATCTCAGCTAGCTGGAGAATTAGCAAAAGCTGACAGTCTGCTCTCATCAACCTCCTGATCCGTGCAGACAGCAGGGTGGGAAATTAACTATTCTGGTGAGGCAGCCTCAGAGACCAGTGGGTGTAAAATCTACCAGTCACCTTGTTTTCTTAAACCCAGCTACATTTAAACACCCTGCTCACTGTTTGTTTAGAAGTCAAAATCAATTACACTTTGTAATACTTAAAAATAAAAGTTGGGGGGAAAAAACTTAAACTTACACTCAGCATTTATGATTTTAAATCAGTGTGTCCCGATTCTTTCTACTTGTATACAGCCTGCGGCTCTAAGAGGATTGGGCACAGCAGTACTTTAAGTTAGATTCTAATTCAACCTGCTAACATGCTCACAATGACAACGTTAACATGCTGATGTTAAACAGGTAGAGCGTTTTACCATGACCTCCATCTTAGTTTGGGGTGCTAACAAAAGCACTAAACACAAAGTAAAGCGGACGCTAATGGGAATGTCCTCAGTTTTGCAGGTATTTGGTCAAGTGTTGGACAAACTGAAATGTGCAGCTGATGATGGCACTAGATGGAAAGCTAAGGGAGTCATTTAAATTGAGGGGGGACACGAATGTAAACCACACTTAAGTCAGAAGGATGCTTCCTCTGGGGACCATTTTGTTTTTATCCACAATTTGTTTTGGTGTCTGCAGCCGTGAGCAGCTCCTCCATTTCCTTTTTGCACTGTGGCAGATTTATTTTGTCACTTTACTCAGAATCAGCTTAGACTATATTTTAGTATGTAGTATAGAATTGGGACACATTGGCTAACCAATAAGAGGAGCCTCTTCTTAATTTAAAAAAAAAAAGTATTTATAACTCAGGCAACATAAATGCAGTTTTTACAGATTTGTAAATATGGAAACTTGGTGCACATACTTTGTAATTTCGTATTATTTCGTTGCTGTAATCCAATGTCTACATTCTCTAACTGGGATTCACCGATTCAACCTGTATTTGATCGCTGTCAGATGTTAACCTCCCACCCTGGGAGAACAATTCATATATGAAGTAATGTTGCACCACATTTTTACCATCATTCCGTCTTCTTATTTGTTGGTGTGTTTAATTCAAACTTTCCAACACGGAGAGAGGCAGGGCTGTTCACTTCTTGGTCTCTGTTTCAAGAAAGCACCTCTTCACATACCGACACATCCTGTTCTAAGGTTTACTCTTAGACTCAGCGTCTGTTTGTGGCCCTCCCTGACCTGCGTTTCGATGTGCTTTTTCCCTTCCCTGTGCCGCTCTTTTTTCCTGGGACAGCAGGAGCTTCCTTCTCCTCCTTCACCTCCTCCTCCTCCTCCCTTTCATTAGCATCCTCAGCAGCAGCTGATACCTCTGAGTCAGGCTCCTCTTTGCTGCCAGCGGGCAGCTCAGCAGGACTCTCCTGAACTTCGGAGGCCTGGGATGTGGTCTCTTCTTCCTTGCAGTGGAGGTCTTGGTCTGTGCTGCCAGTGCTGGTCTCTGAGGTGGTGGTGAAGTCCTGTGAGCTTGGCTCGGGTTCTGCTTGCTCCTCCTGTTGCTGGTTTTCTGTCTGCACGTTCAGCCGGGTGAGCGTAATGGTAGGTTGCATGGTCTTTACGTCCGTCACTAAACCAGTGTTGTCTGAGTGGGAATTTTCATCCGAACAGTCCATGTTGGTTTGTGTTGGGCTGAGGCTGTCTGCAGCTTGGAGGGATTCTCTGGAAGATGCAACACCTTCACCCTTTTGACTCCGCAACTCTCTGTACCTCTGAGAAGAGAAAGCATAAAAATATTGCAAATATGTGGAAATTCCATCAAGAGCTTACTCATGTTTGGATTGAGACTGAGGTTATACAATCAATAAAACAAAATACATACACCTCTTTAAGTTAAATTACAAAAAACCTTAATAATATAGTTTACTTAACATAGTTAGCCATCTACGTGCCTATTTAGTAGTGGAAACAACGTAAGTGAAGTCCTAAAAAACCAACCTTGAGGTTCTCAAAGTGCTTCAGTGATTTGCAGTGGGTGTGTAGAGCAGATGATTCAAAGTGGTAAAATGTGTTGCACAGTCTGCAGATAAATCCTGCTACTGGAACAAAAAAACTGGACCCTGCAGTAGAAGAAATCCAAGATTGAACTCAAATGTGATACTGAACGTCATCTGTAAATCCACGCAGGCAAACAACAAAACGATGAAGAATAAGGAGTTAGTTGTCACTCACCATAGACTGTGTCGGGGTCATACTGCTCGTCGCTGGCCATGTCCTTTAGAGTCACCTCGTTAAGAGAGGACCAGCCATCCTGTACCAGGTCAGCAGTAACACAGTAAACAACTATAGTATAACAAATGCACCAACTATGAGGTACTATGACATGTTTTCAAAGTGAAAATCTCTAAGTGATTTTAATTTACTGAATTAAATATACATTTTGTCAATTGGCTCTTTGGAGGGAATTAAAAACAAGCACAAATGATATGCAAATCACCTGTTTCTCAAAGCATTCGTGGTCTTCTTCACTCGTCTCTCTTTCCCCTCTCTCCTCCACCTCATTGCCCTCCACCTCTTCCAATGAAAAGCCGTCAGTGTCCATGGCAGTCAACTTGCCCAAAACCTCACAGCCCTCCTTTTCCTGGAGCTTGTAAACAGCGGACAACAAGCACAAATATTTAATTTCATCTTTGTTTATGGAAAAACACTTGATTGTTGTTTAATCTAAATGTAAATCAGGAGTATAAACACAGACAGATACCTTCTCCACTTTCAGTCTGTGCTCCTGGGACTGCAAGTGCTCCACAAAAATCTGGGAGGTCCTGAAGTGTTTCTTGCAGACTGTGCAGGAGGAGACGGCTGTCCTACTGGCAAGCTGAGGAGAGATAGAGGGATTACTGATTACTCTCATGTAAAGCAAAAGCTGTTGCAAACCAATTTAAAAAAAACTTATTGAACTCAGCATTTAAATGTGCTTATCTATAAAGTGGGCAGCTAATTACTTTGTGCTCCTCTGTGCGACGGTGGTCCGTGATGCTGCTGGTGAAGTGGGTGTGACAGGTGGCACACCAATGCTTCGCATCTTCTTTCTTGTCTCTGCAGAGAACACAGACAGCATTATTCAAAACTCATAAGGATCATTTTATGCGTTTAAAAGCTCCCCCTATGTTAAACTCAAAATGACTGGCCAGAAGGTATGAATTTAACTTCATTGATGGCAAGTGCGTGTTAACTGACCCTTCTTTGTTTGCTCCCTGTAGAGACTCCTGCACTCGTGGCAGCAGAGTGACCAAGCATGCGTTGCTCATGTGCTGGATCTCCATCATCCTCTGCTGGTGGGAGACACTGTTCATATGACTCCTGAAGTTCTGCAACAGAGGAGAATAGTTCAACTAAACCCCTGCACTTTCCACTGTGGCCTGTGTATGTATGTGTGTGTATGTTGGTGTGTGTGTGTATACGTTCAACCTACTTGCTGGTTGTGGCAGGTAATGCTGCAGAGGTAGCAGTAGAACTTGTTGGCGCCCTCTGCTACACCCTCCTCTCCTTCCTCCTGGTCGTCTGGTGAAGCCAAAGTGGCAGGGGGTAAATGAACCTGCTGGTCGTCTTCACTCAGCCTGCCTGATGGGGACGGGGCTGACGAACAGCTGTGCACCTGCGGAGAGGTCGCACACCACATCTAAACCCAGTGTCGTGCATGAATTGAACTGAGGCTGACAAATACTGATCAGCTTTCAGCCTAGTTACTTCAATATAATCTATCGTCGTTTAGTGTGTACATTATGTTGTTTATGAGCCAAAGGCTACACTCACCTCTGCAGCTCTGCTCTCCTCCAGCGCCTCAACAACATCCGATGCCCCTGTGGAGCCTCCTTCCTCCAGAATGATGCAGTCTGAGGAAATATCGGAGGCCAAAAGAAAGACAGTAGGTTTTCATCTGTACAGACCTGAACTGCAGCACATTTAGATGACATTAATGCTCAATGTGTGAACTCTTTCAAACATCTACTCTACATTTCTGCTGGTTTTACCTTCAGTCTGGCTGTCCTCTGTGTTGCTGTTACACAAAGAAATAACTTCTCCATCTGTATCTGCAATAGTGACAGTCTCAACAACACACTGCTCTTTTGGCTCCTCTGACCTGAGAAACAAAATGAAAAAGAGCACAAGAAGGAAAAAGATGTAAATGTTGAGGTTTAGTAACTGAGGGGGCATATCTGGTTAACAAGGTTACACTCTTCCTTAATTCAGGAGTCTCAAGTAATGAAGTAAGCATCTTAGATTTTGTCTTCCCTAATTTGTAAAACAGGATAAGACATTAAAACCTGAGGATGTGATGTAAGGTTAAGATTTACTACATTTAAAAAAAAATGTTTAACCCTACCCCTCTGTCCTCTGCTTCTTAACTACAGGTTCGTCAAGTTGCTCCTCAGGGGGCTGTGTGGGACCATCCACTCCTCCCACGGCGCCATCTGTGGGTAGGAAAACGGCAAAGCCAAAGTAGAAAAACATTATGTACAAACAAATGTTCCGCAATAACCTTCATTTCTACACAAGCTCAAGGTCACATATGACATTCAACAGTATATGCTGTAACAAGCTGGTCGTATTGCAGCTCTACCTGTTTCAGTATCGTCCGTGACTTCATTCGTACTGCTGGCTGCTGGTTGGTCGTCTGTGCTCCCCGCTGCCATCTGCTCGCTGTCCCTTTTCCTGTCTGGCTGGCGAGCTGCAGCATCCTATACAGAGAAAAAAAAAAATTACAAATATGCTGTTTATAAAGATCGCTTTGTTTGTTTAATTAAGTTAGCATGAAGCACAGTACTCAACTGACAAAGCTATACATCCAAATCTGAAATAATGTTGTAGCTAAGAAACATAAACAAAAGATTGTGGATGTTCATCTAAAAGCAATAAAAATCTGTTTAGCTCCTCACTTTTGTTTATTTAATCAGAGAGGACAAAATCCTTTAATAAGTTGGTCCGCCTGTAGACCAGAACCAACAAAGAATTCATCCTGCTATCAAGTAGAACTACAATTAAGAATAATTTATATTATTGATTTATCTGATGTTTACTTCCTTGGTGAGTCAATAGAGGGTCAGAACATTGTGAATATGCTCATCACAATTTCCCCACACCTCAATTTGACATGTTTAAAAAGCTTGTTTGGTTCCAAATTAGCCCAATACCCACACATGAGAAGCAGTAACCAATGGACTTTTGCCTAAAACATGACTTCACTGTGTCTATTAATTCATTTCAGCTCATACATTCTCTACATTCAACCAAGCCACCATCAAAAACACATAAAAAGGTCATGTTGTTTCCTTTTAGTGATCTGTTCTGTACGATGCAAACTTAACTAATGATTTGATGCTTGCTCCATTTACATTTGGAAACCCTGATTTTGATTTGAACCCTAATGGAGTGCATTAGCTGGACTGCAAACCTACAGAGTGATTATAGCCCTAATAGTGTATGGTGCTGTAATTACTGCGGTAGTGATGGAAGAGAAGGAGGAGGAGGAAGAGGCTGTGTTGTTGTTGTTGCTGTAGTAGCGAGCATGCGGGTGGAACTGTCGAGCAGCTGGGAAGCCCATCATGGGGGTCTTGATGGCCATCCCCATGGGAACCGGCCCGAGCAGAGACGACCTGGCCCCAGCTGTGAAGAACTGACGGAACTGCTGTCCACCCATCCCAAAGTTTCGCATGTTACCTGGATCAAAGTAGACACAAAAAAAGCCAATTATAACCATGTAAATGACTTATTTAATGCTTTTAAAACATAATCTATGAAAATGTGAAAAGAAAATTCCACTGCTCTTTTGTCTTATTCCAAATGCTGCGGCCTTTTACACTATAATCCAAACTGTACCCTGCATCTGCTGCATCAGTAGGGCCCCCTGCAGCATGGGATTGGGGGCGATGATGGTAGTCTGGGTTGCCTGGCACAGGTTGACCATCCTGGGAGGAGCAGCTGTCTGGGGAGAAACGCCAATGGCTCTGGGCAACAAATAAATAAAAGGAAATAAACATGCTGTATCTTGACATGGACATCTGCACACAAGCTGTCAATGTTACTTTTCTTGACGACAATCAATCTATGCTTGTGTTCCGACAATAAGATGCTGAATCAAATTTTTAAGATTTGTAACAACCTTGCTATCTTAATGTAAAATGTACAATCATCAGGGGATAACAGGTACTGTATGGGGTGTTCGTCCTAAGAGTAAACACGAGACCTGCATCCTGAGCTTTTTTATGATGATTAAAGATGGAGTAACAAAAGCTGACAAGACAGAAACCTTTCTGCGTTACTAGGAGTGGCCAAATTACGATCAAAGTTTGTTTGGATTGGTGGCCAGCAGAGGTGATGTGGTCATACCTTTCGGTCTGGGGCCAGTAATCTTGCGACATTGTTTTATATTTAATCTGCAGTTTATCAACACTACCTTTGAGCAGACCAGATAACAGAGCATGGCAAACTATTAATATACGAATAACACTGTTTGACAACAGAATAAGTATCTGATCCACAAAAACAATGTAGTAAAAACTTTGCATAAGGTGCACCAGTGCTGCTAGATTGGGACAGATGTAAATATTACCACATAATTACAGGTTTTAGATCATAGGTTTATTTTAAAAGACAAAATAAGCCAAGATGTACAAGCTGTTATTCCACTTATATTAAAAATGACTGCACACCTATAATTTCCATCTAACCCCTGCTGGCATGTGTTGTGGCAGCTCAGCCACACATCTCATCCGGAGGGCCTCGCCTCATCCCCGGCCTAGAGTTAACGGTCTTACCGCGGTGTCTGGTGGTGGTGATGGGAGACATGATGCCCCGGAGGCGGCTGCGGCGGCGGAGGAGGAGGCTGCTGCTGGAAAAGTTGCTGTAGCTGCCGCAGGTGCTGGTGAAACTGCTGCTGCTGCTGCTGCTGCTGCTGCTGATGGATGTGTGGGTTGAACATTACGGGCTTTTTATTTCCTCCGCTGCTGTGAGTTGACAGACCAGCAGTTGAGAGGTGCCAATGTTTGGAAAGCCGTTAAAAATAAAATAAAAATGTCTCTGTGTCGGAGGAGGACAGAAAAAGCTTGTGTTATTTTTTGTTCCTGTTGTCAGAACAACTCATTCAATAACAGTGCGCAGCTCCTGAGACAACAGGTCGCTCTCCGATTTCATGTTGACAACCAGCTAGTGTTAGCAGGCGAGCTAACCATCGTTTACTTTGTTGTTTACTTTGTTTGAGTAGCCGACTTTAAGAAGAGAGCAGCGTGCCAACCACTCGTTGTGGGGAAGAGAGTGTTCACGCTGTTCAGAAACTAACACAAAGTAGAAACACTGAGTCAATAAACGAACATGCTAACTCCCGTTACACCTGCCATTAAGATGAACGGAGCTACATTAGCCGCCGCTCAGTAACTCAACACAACAAGTTAGCTTAGCATAGCATTGAATAGCTCGCTCGCAGATAAACCAGCTGCGCCTCCTCGCCGTACTCCTTTCTACGTTTTGTTTTTTTACTTTCCCACGGTTGTTAGGACTTACTTCTCAAAAGGGGGAGAGCAGAGATGGTTGCTGATGATCCGATAACAATCCTAGCACAGTGATGTGCTGAAGTACTCGCTCTCAGTCCCGGTGCAACTTGCATAAAGCAGAAAACCCCAAAACAGCGTCCACAGTCTGAGTGCAGCCTGTCGCCCCCTGGTGGCTGTCTGGAGAACTGATAATGCTTCATGTGTCTGCATAACAAATCAAGATAATGTAGTATTTTGTAATTAAAACTGTCAGTGCTTAATTCACAAACCGAATCCCACTTGTAGATTAAATGAGTTTTAATTTTTAGGGCTCTATAAATTACGTTTTACCCTTACACTAACCCTATCCCTGTATATTTAATTGGGACATCATTGTTAAACCAACCCACAGTGGCTATTAGATACAAAAATATACATTAATTTACATTTATCAAGAACTTTACAATAATGCTACTGCATTATACACAGTACATGTCATACATATTTCATCCTGCATAGTACATGTCATGATATTATTATTGTAGTTTGTCCATTGTATAGGGTGTGCCTATGTATATCACACTATACTGTTATATATAATACAAATATACTATATTTGATCAAGGTATATTGTGTTAAAATTCATGTTGAATATGTTTCTGGTAACCTGTCAAGAACAGAAGTGTTGGACATGGATGCTGACCTGCATGAAAAGTCACCAAAATCATATTATCCTCTTAGGGGGCCGCAATAAAAATATATTTGCGAGTTTTCCGAGCTGTTAACAAATGTCGCTCCGGAACAAGGTGTTGGTCCGCAATCCAGGATAAAGTCATAGACTTCATTATAAAACAAATAACAAAAAGTTGTAGAGTGCCCCCTGGCCTCTGTCGGCGGTGGCTAAACGGATTCACACCATGGACGATCTGTGCATCACACAACATGGTGTGTTTGGGCTAGGAACATCAAAAAAACTGGACGGCAATTTCCCACATTTTTTTTGAAACACCTCTGTTAAACGCACTCAAGCAAGATTTAACATGGAAAACAAAGAAATCCTTAACAAACAGCACAATCTGACAGGCCAAACAGTGCAAAGCTAACAGTTCACCACCGAGCGGTGCGTGTGAGAAACGCACGGATCTCTCCTGAGAAAAATATATAAGAGATCGTCCTCATCCTCCCCCCGGCGGTGGCTCGGTGAGAGGAGTGCAACATGCCTCGGTTGGTGGAGGCTTCTAGCGGAGGTGATCTGACACATCCGAGGAGGAGGGAGGCGCAGTCAATGGAGGGTGCACGCCGAAAAAAAGTGAACCGTTGTGTGCGCGCGCAGTCCAAACGGCGAGGGTTCGAGCAGAGAAAAATAAGAAGTAAATCCCCCTGCACTTGACAAGGAGGATAGACGCCTAGTGGCGTCGCCACAGATCGCAAAGATTGGGGAACCGGGGACATGGAGGATTTGAGTTCTCTCGGTGAACCGCATCGCAGGATGCCTTCTCCGCACATCGCAGACGCAAAAACCTGGACTGGCCCAGATCGCCGTGGTGGGCGCCAGAGTGCGGGGAAAGGCTCGGGCTGCGAGAACTTCGTCGGGAAGTAAGTAAGCTTTTTGCAGGCTGGTGCGGCCGGTGCATCACTCGAGCGGCCGCAGTGGCTTTCGTTACGCTTTACGCATCCTCCAGTCCCCACCCCCTTTCATTGCCAGGTTGTATCCGCACACAAGCCCATAAGATCCAAATGGTGACATTTCACCATTTTCACCCCCTTGTTTTCCTTCCATCGGACACGGCACCAAGGCGAGGAGATTAATTTCGTTAGGCCAAGCCTATATAAGTCCCTGGTTGAAGTTTATCTGCTTAACTGCTGCATTGATGCATCACGGAACCGCCAAATTTCTGTTAAATTACTGATGTTCAATATGATAAACCACCTCTTGTAATGCGTGGCATAAAAATACGGCCAAATAAGGTTCTAAAACTAATAATTTGGGTGCCAAAACTGACACAAAGTGGCATGTGTATTGAATTACAAATTACTAATCACTGTCACAGACGCAGAGTCAGTTGGATGCTACCTTCTGTACAGCAGATACAGTTACAGGCAGTGGCGTGGGAGTGTTGTTGTATATGTGGCAGTGACACTTTTGTCAGCTTTTTAATACTGGACCAGGCCAAAAGCGTTCAAAAATGCATGCTCACTGTGGTGTGTGGAGGAGGTCTTAGTCTTGCAAAACGGCACAGTTTTTTTCCTGTCAGAAGCCCTGGATGATGATACAAGGAACATAATGTGATCTTTATGCTGCAGTATACCTGCAAGAGAGAGAGAGAGAGACAAGGAGCAAGCCAGAGACAGCGACCGAAGAGAGAGAGAGACGACCAGAGGAGAGACAGATGGATCCACTGGAACTTTGAGCCTTCAAAGCTCCAGCACCATCGTCTTCAGTGCTTATGGTGTAAGTGAGAGCTTACTGCGGGCAACAGTCATGCGTGTAGCAAGCTCGCGTTTGTTCAGCCTTTTCTTGTATTTACCTGGATTCTGAAGATTTTGTGGCTTTACTAAGATTTTGAGGAGACAGAGTGTGTGATTCAGCAGTATTCTCCTGAGCAAGGTCAGATTTGTATCATACTGTGTCTTCAAGCCAGTCACCACCCCCCCCCCCCCCACACACTCCAACAAGCTGCCTGGTATCCACGACAAAATTTTTAATATATACACCACAGAGAGAGAGCCATCTGTGCAGCAACTGATCTGAGAGGTTTAATTGATCCATCACTCTCGTGTAGATCTAATTATTTGTGAACCCATTTCAACATTGTTATCTCTTCTGCTGGACACCTTCAGTCTCCTTTTCTTATTTGTTTGGCTGCAGAGTTAAATCGTTCACCACATGGCCAGAGTGCTAATCCCCATCTTAACAGGTAGTAGGTGAGGCATGCCTATTGTTTACATGTCAGGGTAATCTACACACATGTGGAGTGGTAAATGCCCTGTTTCCCTCTTATTGAATGATACTGTTGATCTGAAAATACATAGATAGATAGATAGACTTTATAAATCCTGAAGGAAATTGGGTATCATAGCACCAGCGTACAATTCAAAATACAATAAACTACCAATAAATAAAATAGAATAAATTAGATAAACTTAGAAATACTTAGATAGAAAGATAAAAAAGATAAATAGGAAGGTAGGTGCATAAGAGTTGTAGTTGCAACACACACAAGTAAATCTACACAAGATACTTTTTTTGTTTTTTGTTTTGTTTATTAAAAGTCTTTTTTTATATGTATATGTATTCTTCTCTTCATCAGAACCCTTATATATATACTGTCCATGTCAAAACAGGATGCTTACATTACCCACAATGCAACGCAAACCGCCGACAGCTCAGTCAGATGATTCAGTTATAGTAGTGAGTCTAGCTGCAGGCAGAGATGAGCAGTGGCCTACAGAGGTTTGTTCAGCTCAGTTCTTTATAACTCCACACCTCCAGATATTTTTCCTTTTTCAAACTTGTGGTCTTCAGCCCCAACCGATGCCTCAAATGACAACACTTGAGGCAATTTATCAGATATTGTGCAGCTCTCTTTGGAGCCACAAAATGCTTTATACGCAGTAGTAACAAATCACAACAGACTTTGAATTTAAGTCCATGTCTGCCTCTAAATAAACTCCAGTGTAAGAAATACACACTGAAATGTATAAAACAAATTATTGTTCTTACCATTCGTAGCCATTTATGGTACTTTATTTTAAATACAGGCAGATATCTCTACTTATAGAAATCAGACATCTTATAAACATATTTTCAGTGCTTTGACTGCATCCTAAAATGATTTTGGTCTGTTGTCACAGCTCTTTTTGGGGATTTCTTGTTTTAATATCTGTATGCAAAAACAACAAGAGTTTTTTCAGTAATTATTAGTACTATTAAAACAACCTCTCAGCGCTCATTAGTAGGGCGGGTTTTTGCTGCGCTCATCAGTGGTAGTCATAGAAACAGCTTGTGCCTAATTACATTGCCTGAGTGAGGGACCAGTGGTTTGGATTGATCACGACATGAGGCAGAAAAAGAAACACTGAAATATTACAGGGAAATGTTAGCTCTCAGTGGAGCTAACCTTTAATAAAGATGTCAAACGATTTGTTTGTATGTGTCAGTAAAAGCTGCAGTCTGCTAACAGATTGCGGAGTAGCATCCTGTCATGCAGCGTTTGTGCGTGTTAATGTATGCACTCTGCTAGTCCAGCTGCAGTGACGTCGCTCAGGTCCTCCCATCCTCCTCCTGCCAGTGGCCCATTGTGTTTGTGTTATCTGCCTGCACCACCACACACATATGACACACTGTACTGGCTGTTTACATCATGCCACAACACTTCTTTTCTCCACCTCGAGCTTCCATTCCCTGTTATCTTTCTTATTCAGAAATTCACATAGACGCCTCTGAGAAAATAATTTAGCTGCTCTTTATATAAGACCAGTAATCTTTTTTCTTTGTTATTTAATCATTTTTTACTTTTAGTAGAAACTAACAGTGTCACTGCAGATTTTGGCAGTGGAGTGATTATTTTGCTCACACAGCTTCTGGTCCAGGCTTCGACCTCCTTCTGTTCGCTGTTGCTGCTTACGGTTAGCACAGACAATCAATACCAAAGTATAGGAGACTTATAAATGGCATCTACATCAATTATTTCACAAGGCATATTACCTGTTTACAGCTTGTTTGGGTTTACTGGTTTTTACCTGTGACAGCACACGCAGACTTATAATAATCATTAAAACAGAACTAAATTAGAACATTTCTACATGAGTTTATATGGGATTTGGGCAAAAACTAGCAACTAGGGTTGATGTAAACTGTGTTGAAAGGGGTTTACTGTGCATCTAGACACTGGTTCTGCTCCTGATAGTTCGCCATGACACCTCTCCTCTCAGGTGGATTAGATTTTTGATGCATGCCTGGCAGGTGTGATTCAGGGACAAGGACAGCCAACCTCTTAGTGGTAGACAAGCTGTTGAGATATGCTGTGCTAATGGCATGAAAAAACACCTGAGGACACTAATCAAATTGATCTATTCCCTTTTATTGTTCGCCCTTCAATGTTTTTTGATCCTGCTTTCATAATTTGTCTTTACGGAGAGAGAGTCTCCTGATGTCTCTCCTCAGTTCAACCCACCCTTCCCAGCCGTTTTCTGTCTCATTCAGTTTAAATTCAGCTCAGAGGTTCCTTGTTGCAGTAAAATATTAAAGTGCTCAACTCCAAAGCAAAGTCAGTAAGGTTAAACTAAAATTACAGAGATCCACCAAACGTAATAATATAAAAGATAGTTTGTTTGATAGCTGAGATGTATTTGGCTGCCTTTGTGGACTACTTCTGTCTTCTTTTCTTCTTTCTTCTATTGTTTTGTTTAAATATTGTTTGAGACTGCAACTAACAATTATTGTCATTATTTATTTAATAAACCGATCAGATATAAGGTATTTGTTTCACAGTCAAAAACATCCAAAGATATTCAATATATTGCAATTAAGAAAAGCAGCAAATCCTTACAGTTAAAGAAGCTGAAAGTTGTGAATGCTTGGCATTTTTACTTAATAATTAACTTAAAATAACAACATTCAATCAGAATTGTTGCTGATTGGTGTTTTGTTGATTGACTTATCAGTTTTAGATGAATAGTTTCAAGCACCATGCTCAACCTTCTGCTGTGATATGCACAGTGAAAAAGATATTTCATGAATCTGAGCACAACCCCTGTTTTCTTATCAGTGTCACCCAGCCTGTTTTTCAGTCTCCCATGAGTCTAATTAGTGCAGACAAAGAAGAGAGCTTTCCTGGTCTCCAGTGCCCAACACATGCTGTGCCAGCTGGGTGAAATCTTCTTATGTACACAGTTGTTCAGGTGGAGGTGGGGATGTTTGGTCGCATGTTGACATTTGACTAAATCATCAACATTATTTTTACATAAACAGTGTGACATTTTATTTTAAATGGAGGGGGAAAAGTTGGGTTTTTTTAGCTCTGAAAAAGGTGTGTGGTAGGTTGTGTCTTAATAAAAGCTCAACACTTTGTATCACCGTATTAAACTATAGGTGAATTAGGTGGTCTTTGGGGGATTTTGCAGTTTTGTGTACTGTGTTCGTAGTAGCTTTTTCACAGTAATTTCTTCATGGTTAAATGTTATAGTTTTTACCAATATGTGCAACTATCCTGATTCTGAAAATGGGTCAGAATCTTTTTTTTTTTTTTACACATTTGTACTGAAAATGTTGTATTTGACTGATTTGAATAAGTGAGTAGACACCAGAAACAAGCCAGACAGAGTTTCAGAAAGGCTTGGATTCAGTTTGCTTAATTTATCATGCAACATACTCATCATTTATGTTGCTTACCACAGTATGCAGCACATTTTGTATGGATAATATTTACAAAAGTATAGTGCATGTTCTCAACTCCAGGACCCATTTTCAGCACCACGGACAGCTCTTTTAAAAACAGCTGATACTAAGTCAGCGCCACAGCTGCTTCCCCTAAAACACAACAAATACTGATGCTCACTTTCCAGTGAGAATTGCTTATTATTGTCACCATGGT